TCAGAAAACGGCGGGAAATAAAGGAGGTACTTCAGAAAATGGTTGGAAACGAGGGGAACGATCTCAGAAAATGGGGGAATATTGAAGGGATCGATTCATAAAACGGTGGGATACGAGAGCGTTGGCTCGGGAGACGGCGAGAAATAAAGCAGTTACTTCATTAAATGACTGGAAATGGGGGAACTGCCTTAAAAAAACCGTGGAATACGAGGGGATCGAGTCAGAAAACGGCGGGAAACGGGAAAATCGCCTCAAAAACAGCAGGGAGTGAGAGAACCACCTCGAAACCACGGGGGAAAGCCCAAAACCCCCCCGTTTTTCGGAGGGGGTACCTGCGGGGGGAAGAGGCGGTCGGCGCCGGCGTCGGCGGGGGGCCCGCGGGGCAGGTCGGGCGGGGGGCTGCGGTCGCGGGGCCGGGCGCGGGCCGGGCTGAGGGGCGGCGAGGAGGCGGCGCAGGCGTCGATCTCGTAGTGGACGTACTTGCAGGTGTCCATGTGGAAGCAGGTGTTGAGGAAGGAGCAGTCGCCCAGGGACTCGTCCGTGTGCTTGTTGATGATCCGCCTGCGGGGTGGGGGGGAGGCACCGAGTTTGGGGGGGGTTCCGGGGGTTTGGGGGTGTTGGGAGGTGATGGAGGGAGAACATGGAGAGAGGAAGAGGAGTCACGGAGGAAGGAGAACGTGAGGAGACGGAGGACAAAGACGTGGAGTGATGAAGACCGTGGGGTCGTGGATGGGGAAGGAGAACGCGAGGAGACAAGAGGAGGAAGACGTGGAGTGATGGATGGATGGAGGACATGAGAACATGGAGGAAGACCGTGGGTTGATGAAGACCAGGAGCTCATGGAGGAAGAGCACGGGATCGTGGATGGAGAAAGACCACGGATCGTGGATGAAGACTATGGAATCAGGGATGGATGAAGACCACGGAACCGGGGATGAAACCCACGGATCGTAGATGAAGGCCACGGAATCCCACCCTGGACTGACCGGAAGTGGAGCTTCCGGCAGGGCCGCTCGGCGCCCGAGGCCTTGACGCACTCCTCCTTGGTGCCGTGGTCGCAGAACTCCTGCACCTGCGCCCGCCCCCGCGAGCGGAACTTCTCCACGATCGACTGCTCCTTGGCCGTCGTCGTGTTGAGCAGCTCCAGGATCTCCTGGCTCACCTGGGGGGGGGCACCCAAAAACCACCTTGGGGCGACCAAAACCGTCTTGGGGCAACCAAAAACCACCTTGGGGCAACCAAAAACCGTCTTGGGGCAACCAAAAACCACCTTGGGGGTCCCCCCAACCTCCCTCTCCGCCATCTTGGCGCCCCAAAAACCTTGAGTAACCTCCACGTTCTTCACCATCTCGTGGTCCCGCCCACCTCCCTGTCGCCCCGCCCACCTCCCTGTCGCCCCGCCC